ACCGTTAGTAGGATTCAAGGGGGGCGTTGGGATGGAAGGGCCATTACCAACATTTGAGGTGTCAGGAAACGGAATGAATGTTACTCTGATTTTAGAGGGTGGTAGGATACAGTAGACTATTACCTAGATTTGAGGCTTGCGTCAGGGCACAAGAGGGCCCCTACCCAAATTGGAGGGAGCTGTGAGGGAGGGGAGGAACCTTACCCAGATTTGAGGGGACATCGAGGGACAGAAGGATCTTTATTCAGATTTGAAGGGGTGTCAGGCAGCAGGAGGACCCTTACCTAGATTGGAGCGGGTGTTGGAGCGCTCGATGATGGCATGCTTGCTGGGATTGTTCAGCACAGAACGCTTGGCCAGCGAGATGTCTGCTGTGACTCGCGTGATGGATATCCTGCCAAAGGGAAGGTGACAAACATATGGGCAGTGACAGTCTCTTCTGGGAAGTGGGATGGTGAAGGAATATAATTACAGGACACCCCCAACCCTCAACACATGCATTTCTCAGTGGCCTTTCCCCTCCCCGAAAGAATTTTGCTTAAGTCAGTTAATCAGCATATATGGAGGTGGGATTCAAATATCCATCTAAACTTGAGTCTAAATGGCTGAATTAAGTAAACAGTCCCACTCCCCCTCCTTCAGGGCCAATAAATGCAAGCAGAAGAGGATGGGGGTTTGCCCATCACGCCTATCCTATTAAGGAAATGAAACACAACCCCATGACATCTCCGAGCAGCTAAAGACGCAAGGGGCCACGTTCGGCAGTGCCTCTGGGGAGGGCAGAATACCAGATAGTGCTCTTTCATAAAGTCCCTCACTGCTACCCAGTGTAAGAGAAAGAAAGAGAGAGAGGGAGAAAGAGAGAGAGAGATCCTGCTCTGATGAGAGACAGACTGTTAGATTCCAAAGAAACAGGAAGTCAATCAAAAGTCCATTTAAGCAGAATGCTCCTGAGAGTGAAGCCATAACACACAGTCCCCGTTTCCTGGCCTATGGAAATCCGGGGTGGGAAGCCGAGGCTGGAAAAACAAAAATGGGGGGGGGACTCACCTTCCCTCAAATCGGTGCTTCAGAAAGTCAAATAATGCCTTCTGCATCATGTCTGTGACCTGAAAGGAATAACATGGAGAGTATGGCTCAGAAATATCTTGACAAACTTCCACGGACAGCGTAAAGCCAGAAGGCAATGGGGGGGGGGGGGTTCCTGACCTCATACCCCTTCAGCGAAGGCCCAACGAGGACCACAGGTCGCATGGAAGGCACGACGTCGTATGGGGGCACGTGCTCCGTCTAAAGCGGAGAACAGCAGCAGTTACACATCACCAATGCAATCGCCATCAAGCCATCCACTCCCCCCCCCCCCCCCCACCCCCAAATCACTCAATGCCCTTCTGAACAATGAGCCAAACATCCCATCAAACTGTACCCAGCCTATTCTGGGGGGTGGGGGGGTGTTATTTTTTTGTGGGTTCCCTGATATTCCAGAGAGTTCTGTTTGATGGTGCATGTGCACCTGAAAGGGGGGGGGGGATTGTGGGAAACGTGCAGGAATGTTCATCTCAATGCGCAGCTGGAGCCAGGGGGGGGACTTCAGGAACACCCATGGGGTCAAAGGTCACTGCTGGAAGCGGGACACCAGAGAGAACACTGCATATACAGAGCAAAGAGACCACACTGTACCCTGCATGCCACAAACAGCACGACCCCCTCTAGGGGCGGGGCTATTATTAGAGCCACGCCTGGGGGGGCACTGCCGCCGTAGCTTTAAGATGGGCTCTAATTCTGGACTTTTCCGAGGAGCTGCACAAGTGGGCTAAATGGTCATATTGATTTCCCTTGATGTTGGCGCCTAGAGGATGATAAGAGCAGACTCGAGAATTGTAGGGCAGTTGGATCTGTTCGAAGACCCCGCATTAATGCAGCAAGTGTAATGACAGCGCCCCCTATGTGCAGGCGGAGACTGTCTGATCTTTGCCCCATCGAGCTACGAAAATGGAGAGAAATTCCTAATTGTATGACACTTTGTTTTCAGTCCCGCCCGGGATTGTGAACAGGGGGTACTCAGCTTGCCTGTGGGAGGGATGGTAGGATGGTAGGCAATCGCAGGAATGTCACAGAAAAGGAGGGAAAATCGCCTAAGAGGAAAATTTCACAGCCTTTATTTCCTACATCTATAAAGTGGGAAAAGTTTTCATATATATTTTAATATGTATAATCACTTTACCCAGATCCAGCTGACCTAGAACTAACCAGAACTTTCAGTTCAGAAAACCTCTATTTGGTGGATAACATTCTGCTCTACTGTTACACAACAGAAACATCCCTGGGGTGTCCTGTGGTGCCCCGATAAGCAGCCCAGCAGTCCTACCTCAGACCCGTTCCTGGGATTCTGGCTGCCAGAATCAAGAATTACTGAGGAAAATTAAAGACTGCAAGTCCAAAGATACAAAGAGCCCAAATCTTATTTTTTTCAGCGTACAATGAGGTCCACCTTCATAAGCGTCACCAAACGTGGGCGGGGGGACAAAGACGGGTGAGGAAAAGGGAGAAAAAATCTTATCTGTTAAAAAAAATGACAGTAAAGGTCAGAGGCCACTGAGGTCACGGAGGTCATGGACGTCACGGAGGCCACGTTCCATATACTTACCGACTTCTGCTTCAGCTTAGCTAAGGAAATGCGGAAGGAGGAGAAGAAAGAGAGTGATTAAGGTTGGCATGCGTGATGCAAGCGTCCCATGGGACCACGTGCGGGGATGGCTGGGGTGGGGGGTGGGGGTGGTTTGGCCACGCTCAGCAGATACAGGCAGGAAGCCGCGCGGACAGGCGGGCGGGCAGGCAGGGGGGGGGCGTCGATAGGGCCGTTACCTTCTTAAAGAAGGGCATTCTTTTCTCTTTTGCTAGGGGTGACATGACACTGTTTGGGCTGGCTTTGGGGGACCGCTGCTGGGCCGGGAGGTCACTGTCCTCTGCCTCTAAGCCCGCTGCGTCTATGTCAATGGCTACGCACAGACAGACAGGGGACTGTCACATGCCGGGCCAAAGGCGGGACATGGGAGGGGCCCCAGAGACAGAAAATGGCAGGCTGGAGAGGCGAATCTATGTAAATATCACTGTTTTTACAGGAGCAGTTCTGGAATCATATTTCTAAACCTATCTGGTCATTTATATAACAGGTATCATGCATTTTAGATCAAAGTAGTTTATGTTAAACTTATGTCCAGAGTCATAATACAGTGCAATAGTATAGCATTGTGCAACAGCTTTGTGAGGTATAGTTCTGTAGTATGGTACTAGAACATCGTAACATATAGTTTTATAGTACAGTACTGTAGAATAGTACAGTATTAGAGTATAGTGACTATAGTATTGTCCTATATACAGTACTGGAGTATAGTGACATAGTTCTATAGTAGAGTACTAGAGTGTACTATATATACACACCACATTACTATTTGAATACTGCTACAGTACAACAAAGTCATGTTACTGTATGCTATTGTGGCAATTATTTCTATTACAGTTATATGAACTGTGTATTATATATAGTTACCAACAACCTAAATGTCACTAGTTACTGAACTGATTCCACCCTAACCGTATTCTTTATACTGTATGTATGTGCGTGAGTATGTGTGTATGTGTACATATATACACACACACACACACAAAACCTAAATATAGATTCATGCATTTATAGACTGACTCAGCCGCTGTGGAAGTACACAGGTGAGGTGGTATGATTGGTTGTGAAAAACAAGACCAAGTCTATCCATGGAATTTCTATGCACTACCCTCATTTTCTTTTGGTTAATAATTTGAATGACTAATTATTGACTGAAGAATAAGTTGTTAATTAAAAGTAAATTATAATTATAATTTATTTGTATATTTTTGTATTTGTGTCAATTTGAAATTCGGCATACAGCTGTGCTACAGTTGCAGTGGATTGAGTTCTCAGAAAGGCTCTGCTGTAATATCGGAGTTGTAAATCCTCGCAGCACTGCATAAGCTGCATGACCTGCCTTTAATATTGAGGGCAGCATTTTGGGGATTTCATATAGGAAAGGACAACAGGTCGCTAAGCACTAGGATTTAATTACAACCACCACTCAGCATGTCGGACAACAGCAATTAGCTGAGGCATCTAATATGAATAGCATAAAATAACATATTCAAACAGGGATAACAAGCTGTGCTTTGACATCACAGCTTCCTCCTCAGGTCAGGAAACTCCCAACAAAAGCAGCCTCTGATGTAGGTGGCCACTAAGCTCTTCAAACGGATTCGGTTTCGATTAATATCTGATGCTTACAAAAATCAAGTTTTGTATAATTGAAATGTACTATAGGTCGACGGTGACCTCATTAAATCATCAAGAGGGAGGGTTTTACACTGAGAAAACTGGCTGGCTCCAACCTACCAGACGAGGGTGGGGTGGATTTCCTCGAATTGGGAGCGATGTCACCCAAACTGGACGAGGAGTTTGCTCCAGATTTACTGTCAGACAGAAAAAGAGGAGACGTCAGACTGCTGAGTCCCGACCGATCGCTCAGTCAGTCTAGGGTTTTTGGCAGTAGAATTCCAGGCTTTACACTGATAAAGGCTCAAATGAATTACTGTGGACACCATCCATCCATCCATCCATCACAGCGTCACAATGAGCCTACAGCCTATCCCAGACAGCACACAGCAGGAGGCAGGAGATACACATACACACACACACACGCACACACACATACACAGGTTTGTAATTATATCTTTGTGGGGACTCTCCATTCATTTCTATGAGGAAAACACTAATCCCACATTAACCCCTACCTAACCCTAACCCTAACCCTAACCTTAACCTTAACCCTAACCCTAACCTTAACCATAAGTAACCAAACAAAATACGAGACTGTTGGCATTTTTACTTTTTTGATTGCATTCACAGATCTTTACGGGGACCTGAAAAATGGTCCCCACAATTTCAAAATAACAGGGTTTTATTACATAGTGGACAACATGTACCACAAACATAATCCACAAAGACACACACACACACACACACACACACTCAGAGGGTCAGTGGCGCCCCCTGCCTGAAGTGGAGCTTGGCCTGTTTAGCGCGCTGCTCGTGCTGCATACGCGTGTTCTCCAGCTTCACGGGGCTGGGGATGAAGCCCAGCTCGCAGCCCTCCTTCACCAGCCGTCCTATCCACCAGTCATTGTTATACTTCTGCGGGGGGATAGAAGAAGAGAACAGTCCCCAGGGGCCACATGCTACCATTACTGACAAGATTAGACATAAATGAGACTTGACCCAATCCCTACTCACCTATTAAGACAACAAATATTTACTGACCCCAAACCCCGAGGTGCTCCCTAAATCGCTCATGGCATCCCCATCCCAAGTACACCAGTTTCCCCGTTTACGGGGTCTGGGTGGGGGGCGGGGCTTCCTGGGACTTTCCCACCAGGGTGGGGGGCGGGAGCTTCCCCGCTTCATGGCACCCCACAGTTCCTCTCCGGTTTGAAAACGTCTGAATCATTATCGCCATCACTATCATTACAATCATCACATCATCACCACTGTTGTCGTGACAACACAAAATCGGCAGACACCTGTGGCTCCAGATGTACTTAATTCTGCTCGTGCTCAGCTCTTAATCACTTTAATTCAGTAAGTATTTAAGAGACCTCACGATGCCTGGAGAGGGATTTGCTGGACAACATCATTGATAATTAATGGACTTTTGCAGGCTTCCAATAGTCATTTTGAGCGGAACTCATTAGTCCTTATGGACGGATCCTTCCAGACTCGTAGGCTGCGTCGGTGTCGGAGGAAACTCAAGGCCTCTGCGCGTCTCAGGGGATGCTCACCTCTTTGACGTGAAGGAAGTCTTTAGCCTCAAAGGAGATAGCCATGCCGGGCACGGGGGCGTCATCGTCCTGGGTGGCGATGTAGCTGACGTTAGTGCGGACAGCAAATGCGACTGGTTTAGTCTGGGGATGAGAGCCACGCAGGTTGGTAATCAGGCTGTGCGTAAGAAGACCGCAGCTAACTGACTGTAGGACAGCAGGTCTGCTTTAAGCTCAGCATTTGGTGTACACCAATTTGACCTATCGACCCCTTTAAACAGAAAGACTACCTTAAAATGGCCGTATCAGACCCCCACTGCGCTTCTGTCAGTTCAGACGTTTAGATTCACTGGCAGGATGGATGTAGACCATAGAGACCTCTCATCCCACATTCTCTGCGTACAGTTGGTTGGGTCGGGCTGGGGTATATATAGGGCACCTGTGTAATATCTGAGTAATCTCTCTGTTTACTGCCCTAAGGTCTAGGTCATACTTTTCCGTGTGCGCTTTCGTGTGCTTTCGGGCAGGGGACGGCTATCCGCACGGCAGCTCGAGTTTGCACCACGTCTGGCTACGGATGCGAACGGTCGTGGTCGGTGCGGCATACAGCGGTGATACTCCACCAGACCAGCAGAGGGCAGACGTATTGAAACAAGCACAAATACAAACAGTGTAGTGAAACCGGTAAACGTTTCTGAACAGTTTTTAAAGTTCCTAGTCAAGGCTTGGGCGGTATTACGGTAATAAGGCGTACCACGATATTTTGAAATTTTTATGACAAAATTAACCGGGACCCCAACTCCACCACTTGCTGGGTGAATTTTATGGCCAAGATTTCAAACTGGTGGAATAGTGCTGCTTTTTAAAATACTGTATACCTCGGTATAATGCTTGGAGAGTATGAAAAATTAATATAGCAGCTCACCAGAACTACCACAACAACAACAATTTTTCCTCAACTCATTCATCATTGACTGCTAATCTGTAAAGGTCCATGGTACCACCTGCCTGAAATACCTAATCAGTTATCTTACACATGTGTGGTCGATGTGCACGTATGCGCGAGGTTTCCGCTAGACATAAAAATCTGGGTTACACGGACATCGACTGCAGCCAACCCTTGACGACAAAATTTACGCCACGTTCCGTCATCCGCAACCGAGAGTGCAGGCGTAAAAGTGATTTATGAATTGGCCTTAAGATATCAGCCCTAAGATCTATGGCCGAGAATATTTATTTGTTTGTTTGTCTTTTTATCCAAAGTGACACATTTGAGTCAGCCGGTCCCAGGAGAAGTTTGTGGTTAAGAGCCTTGCTCGAGGCCTCAACGATGACATCACTGTGTCAGCCCTGGGATTTTATACCCGTCCACAGCCACATGGGAATCGGCGCAGCTAAAAATTAATCTGTTTAATGCCCCGCATCTGGGCAAATACTGTGAGGCCGTGTCGGCAGGTATGCGGGAAGCCCGGCGATACGGGTCAGGGGCACATCTCGCTAGGAAGATTACTGATGGCAGGGGGCAAGCCCTCCTCTTCTTCCTCTCTGATCGTCCCAGTCAGATCATCAAGCCCAGCCAGAAGGGGGCAGTACAGAGGCAAGCCCAAAGTGCTTAGACTGCAGGAACAGCCACACACACACACACACAGACTGGAGAGAGATTAAAGGGCATTACGTAACCCTACCCCGGCATATGGAGGTGTGTAGAAAGCGTGCAGGACATCGCCCGTGACACGCTGAGCGCCCCGTGGCCGGCATGGTGACGCGCTGGAGCCCACCCAAGACAGGCAGTAGGAAAAGACGGCGGGTACCAGCGGGAATGGTATAGTATGGGCCTAAAATTACGAGGATGCATTTAGCTAGAACCCTGGGCACTATTCTCTTGTAAGCCAAGGTTCAAAGGTAAAAGGTGAAAAGGAAGGACAGGCATCCAGTCACGACCGTGGGCACGGCCTTTGGCCTATAGGAGGTGCGGGGCTGTGGGAAGGCGGGCCGGGGCGGGGGATAAACAGCCCAGACGGCCTCTCTGCAGAGGTGACCACCCCGTGGGGACGAGCCGGACGCTCATTTCCTGTGCCCCTTGCAGACCGGATGCCTGCTCTCTCGGAAGTAACCATCTGTGGCAAGGGCTGGGGGGGGAGGGGGTGATTGACTGGGGCTTTGTAGGTCCAGAGATAGGAAGTGGGTACTTTGGCAGCTTATAGAAGAACACAATTCACTCCACCCCCCTGATGGGCGAGGCTACATTCGCTAGGCTTTCCAGATAAGGATCACCACAGCAACGGGGGAACGCCTTCCCCGAAAAGCGACTCTCCAGCTGTCGATTGGTCTGCTTCCCGATAATCTTTGGCCAACGTAGGCAGATTCGACTTGCCGCTAAAATTAGTACCCTGTCACATAATGTAGGCCGCCCGATCGTTCGATCACGAATGAGGGGGGCGTGACTGGCTATTTTTGGCAGGGAAGCGATGGCGGCATTCAAAACGCCCTCAGACGGCCCATTAAACTCCTCCGGAATCTAAAGCTAAACACTTCGGCAAAACCATGGTGACAGCCCCAGGGCCAACGTTCCATAACAACCTAATTACACGACATGTCCACGGCGCACGACCCCACCACACAAACGACCCACAAGTCTCCACACCGTTTTAAGGAGGCCTCACTTCCACCTTGTCCGTCTCCGGTTGGCCTTCACCTCACCGGGGGCTTTTAAATGATCTCTCATGGCCCATTACCATCACCATAGCAACCGGCCTCTACAAATCAATCTTCCTCCCTGGGGAGATCACCAAGATAGCATTTCCCTGATAAATTACACTGCAGCAGAGCTAACCTGTAAAACAGTGATCTTTTTAATTAGCGAGTTTACAACTGGGACACCCCCAGCTTTTCCACTGAATGGAACGGCCGAGACACTTGGACTGTTTAAATAACAGGACAGATTTACACAAGAGCAAAGGCTATGAATATAAACTAGGGGGGAAATTAACTTTCGAACAGGCCTGCTTAAGCATTCCCTCGAAGTCTGGGGATTTTCTGTGTTTCAAGTTTTTCCACACGAGTTAAAAAGACCTCCTGCCAAAAGTGAAATTTCCTCCCGCACATCAACTAGGGTCAAAGGTCAGAAGGACACAAGCTTAGGTGCTGTTACGTAATGCTTGGCTGTGCTGGCCTCCTGCAGCTTGGGGCCCCAGGGAGACAGCTGGATTGTTTTAATAGGGGCCCCAGCTGGCCAACGGGAGCACTGGAATGCTCCGGAACACTGGATGGCATGGACCCTGGAATCATTTCCGCTTTTTAGAAACAAAACGGTCCCAGTACGGACTGAGACCTGGGTGAGCGGCTGGGTCAGACCCCCTATATAAGCCACCCCCCCACACTGTACTCAGCTGACACCCAAGAGACTCTCATCAATCATCTAAAGCTCTTTAAAAACGCACTTTTTAGCGTGCGATCAATGGTGCCTTCTACAGTAAACCCACACATGCCCTCCATACATGTGAACCTCGATGAGGCCAGAAGCATGACAGCCAGGAATGGATTAAAGAGTCAGGATCTACACCCTTTTCAACACTGTGGTATTAGAACTACTGTCCTACAAGTGAAACATCTTACTGCCCTTTGGAAAGAAGAGTGAAATACCAAGAGGTAACCCTCAATCACTCACATCATTACCGTTCGGCCATCTACAATCTGTGGCTAAAAGTTGAGCCCATCGACATCATACCTGTCAAGTTTTGGATTTGAAAATAAGGGAAATTTTCCGGCTCCCACCGCGAGCCATCCCACCCCCCCGACCAAGCTCCAGTATCCCTTACATTTTAAGACAGGTGTACAAGAAATCTAAAATAACCACTTTTCATTTACCTTTTATTTTCATTACACATTTTCTTTTAATTTCTCATGTTCACTCATGTGGCTCTCTGGCATTCACTAATGACTTATTATACAGATTTGTTGCAGACTTTGTATCCTTGTTGAAGTCGTCACAGAAGGTGAAAGTAACGTTGTTTTTGGCACACAGCATTGCCATTTTAACCTCCGCATTTATGACCTGGTTAATGTTGTAAATGACCTGCAGACTACAGCAGGTGGCAGTTCTCGCGAGGCTACTGACAGTTCAGTTTGGAGAGGCAGAGGAATTTTTGAAAAATTATATTATAATACGGGACATTTACGGGAAAATACTAATACGGGACAACGGCGGGAAAGAGGGGTAAAATACGGTAGTTTCCCGGTCAAAACGGGAAACTTGACAGGTATGATCGACATGCTGCTGTCATTCCTAACTGCTCATCATCCGTTGATGATCGTCAATGTCTAACCTCCCCTCATGTCTGCGTACGCGATGTCCGAAGCTCTCCGGTTTCAGCAGTGGAAAACCATCAGCCGGTCACGCTGGATGGCGTCCAGAAAACCCCTTCTACTGAAAACAAGTTTCAAAACCAAGATCGATACAAATCCCGAGCTGCGGCTGAAACCAAACCCCGGATTTCCGACGGTGTTCTGAAAACCACAAGTAGGGACGGACGGAATCACAGAACGACCCTCAGAGCCTCAGAGACTTCACAGAAGGCATATATTACCCAATGAAGACAACAGAGACTCGCCCACTTATTAAAACCCTCAATCAAACCAGGTAGCTTGACAATTACATCAGGACTGCAGCTTCCAGGGGACATAATTCATACACAGAATTACTCTTAGCTCATCACATAGCTGGGACAGACCAGCATGAGCTCCTCACATACACTTACTTAACCAGAACTGGAAACACCTCCATTTGTGGGTATAATATTGTATCTACCTGCGTACTTTACACTCCTATATCTCACAGCTTCATTTTGCAAAAGCTAATTGTTTACAGAAGCAGCCAAATATTTTTCTCGAGGGGACGATAACCAGCGACTGCCCATCAATGCATCAGGTCCCTTAACTGCTATGACCCCTACTGGTCTATCATGAGATTCCATGACTTTGACCAAAAAACAGTATAGAGTTGAACAAAGTACCAAATGTGAGGGGCAGAGAAGGGTGTAGAGCAATGTTTCCCAGCTCCCAATCTCATCTGTACCAATGTTCTTGATTGACCAGGAACTGGGAGGGAGCAGAAATGTGATTGTTACCTTTGCTTTCTCCAGCTGTGCCTGGGCCTGCCTCTCTGCCTCTCTGCGTAAAGCCTCCTTATCCTCCTCCAAAGAAACATCAGAGTCTGATGGACGGCTGGTGTAGGAGTCCGCCGAACCCTTGGGAAGAAAACAGACACACACACACACACACCATTAACACATCAGTACTTTCAGTCACAAATATCACTTTATAGCTGCTTGGTATTATGGGGAAGAAAAGATCATTTACACAATTATTTCAGTTCCTTGGTTGAAGGACAAGATCTGGGCCCCTTCAAGAATATGAAGCCGCAGAATAGGACCTTAACCACTATGCCTCCTGTTGGCCATTTTATGAAGAAACAGCCACAGCCTCAATGACAGCACAAAGATGATTTTACTGTTGTCTACTGTTGAATGCAATGTTTATAAACTGGTGGAGAAAGGATGAGAGGAACTGGAAATCTTTGTAAAGAAAATTAAAATTCAAAATTCGTCATCAGGGAACATTCTGACAATTCCCTAGCAGAACAGACAGACCACCGTGCATCAAATTATCACTTTTCATGTCAATCTGGAAGCTTCAAAGAATAAGAAAGGGACCAAGCATCGAAGGCGTTAATCAAGAGTTCGGCATACATCCATGAACCCCCCCCCCCCCCCAGCCCGGTAGGGGGGGTGCATCTGTGTTTCTGAGCTCCTGATCTGGACCATCGCCAACACAACAGGTCTAAGAACTCTGCCGTCTGGCCCTGACACACGGCCGATTGTATCCAGACACACACAGACAGCTAACACTCACATGCGGACACATCACACACAGGGGTTCTCACATTGCACAGGGATGTGCACACATTCACCTGCTTCTAGACGTGTAAATCGGCATGCTTTTCCATGGCAACGGGTTGCCCCACTCAAGCCGCCGGCATGTTAAAAATAACCAGGTCGTCCGCGTCACTGCCTGCCGTGCCCGCTGTTCCCCTGATCGGAATAAAATGCAGTTCAACCCCCCCCCCCCCCCCCCCCCCCTGCCACCACCACCCCGCTCCCGGCCGCCTGAAATTCCTTCATTACCCGTTAATCAGGGTAATTAAGGCAGGAGGGGCCTGCCCCCAGCCAGAGGGAATATGACATTAATGAGCTAAAAATACCCTCCCTTCGCAAGGCTAACACACTAAACGGACGCACTCGCTAACCGGTCGGGCGCTTACATAGACGTCCGAGCTCTTCACGTGGCCCCCTTTGGCTCTCTTCAGCAGCCGTATCCAAGCCGCCTTCATCGGCCAGCCCCGGCGCTCAGCGCCCTGAGCCGCGTCGCTATCTGCCTCGTCACTTGTCGCCGATGCTGATGCTGCAGTTGCTGATGCTGTTGCCGCGGCGACACCGCTCTCCACAATCGCGTGGAACCGCTACTGCCGCCGCCCCGTCTGGGCTGGCCGGCCATCCGACCGCTCATGCCTCACCGACACACTGCCATGCTCTCGCCGCAAGGGGGGCGGGTGTGCATGTGTGACGGGGGACGGGACGGGACGGGGGGGGGGCTCTCGATTCGCACTGCTGCCTGGACTGCTCAGGTACAGAAATGCCCTGCTCTTCCCTCTCCTGCTCCACTCCTCTCTCTGTCTCTCTCTCTCTCCCTCTGTCTATCTCGCCTTTCTCTCCTTTTCCCACCTCTACTTCCTGCTCCCTCCCATTTGCTGCTCTCTCTTTCTACCTGTTCTGTTCTTCCTGTCCATCTCTCTATCGCTCCTTCCTATCACCTCCTGTTTTATTCCACTCTCCTCTTCAACTTCCTGCTTTCTTCCATCTCCTCTATTTCCATCGCTCACGTATCTATGTATCTCTCTTTCTCTCCTGCTTTCTCCATTTTCCTTCCATATCTGTTCTTGTGTCTCAGATAGATGGTCGATCTAACCACGCACACACACACACACACGCACGCGCACGCGCACACACACACACACACAAGCAAGTCCCCCCTCCCTTCGACAGTGCAGTACCGGTCCAAATTTCATGGCTGCCTTCCTCCCTTGGGGGGCAGCACTGAGCATGCCTGCTGAATTCATCCCTCCCATGTTCTTTTTTTCCCTAAATATCCACACTCACAGTCACAGTCTCAGTCACAGTCTCAGCCAAATCTATGTCAGAACCCTTCTCTCAAGCCGAGAAGGAAAACAGCGGAACAGCTGAGAATAGCCGAGGGTCCTGAGGTCCCGCTTGAGACCACCTTTCAGTCGCAATGCGGCGACCCTCACCCCCCTTGCCGTGTCTCTCTCGTTGTGGCGATTCCAACTCTGGAGAAGTATCCATTTCATTCACGACAATCTGTGCACAGAGAGCATGAGGTTAATATCGCTCGATTCGCAAGAGTTGCTCCAGTCCCTGAGTCACCATCTCTAGACACCCTAATTTCCTGAATAGACCCCTGATGTCGCTCCAACTAAACCCAGTGCAGCAGGTGAGATCTGTTCCATGTGGGGGATTACCCAGAATTAGTTAGAAGTAGGAGGGCGTGGCACCGATCACATGACCCAAGGGAAGCCAAGTGCTAAATGTTTGAGGGAAAACCCAGACATGCTCTGAGAAAGCTCACGGGTTTCAACACGTGTTGGGGGTTTGAGAATATGGCACTGGTCTCATGATCCAAGGAAATCCTGTTGGTCAACATTCAAGGGGAAACCCAAACGTACTCTGAGGAACCTCAAGATATAAGTAAGGATATGAGTTTGATTTGTGGAAGGAAAAGAATAAAAAAAAAATCACAGAGCTGAGAATGAAGCCTGATTGTGTTTCCACACCGTACCATGGTAGACGACCCGTTCCGGTCCCGCCACAGAACCCGAATGGCATCCAGACTGATCCGAAACACCCGTGGTGGAGGAATCCGTGCCCGTTCCACTTCTTCTCCCCCGGGTCATCGACGAGGACCAATTTAGCTGTCGCACTGGAGAGCCCCAGCCACGCATCGAACGAGGCCACCGTAATTAGTCTGCCGTATTATTAGAAATCGACGGCACGACTCGGCCCGATCTGTGAAACCGTCCCAATTTTACGGTCTCCTTTTACTGTCTCAATGCCGCCTACACCTCAGTCCCTGTGGCCGACAGGACATTCTGACGGGGATTCTGAAACACAGCCCCTGGTGGCTCTACAACTGCAGAGGGTCGACCCATATGATCGGATGGTCTCCGCTTTGAATCCTATCCTTAGCAGAATACTTACATATCCGCTGGGCCCTGGGGCTCTCAAATGCTTCAGGGGTGCAGGACAAATGGGCTCACCCTGTGCTCCGACCCCAGGTTTCACTTTAACTGTGTATGTGTGCGTCTGTCTCAAAGAAGAGAAGATGAGCATTCTGATGTACCTTGTGCTGATGTTGACCTGCACGTACTTTATGTGCAAACGGCAAATAAAGCATCTTTTACTTTCCCCCAGCCCTTGATTACGCATGACCTTCCACAGAGGTTGCGGTTGGGCTTTCGCACATCTGCGTTCATCACGTTGGGGCGATCTACCTCCCCACGCCCAACACCTTAACTACTGCTCACAGTGACCACGCCCACCAGTCACTGCATATCAGCTAGGGAGGTGGTTAGAATGAGAGTACAGTGAGATCACATACAGGCTAATAATAATGTCCAGGTGCCGCCCACACTGCGAATCACCGAACAGATTTATCCATTTAAGAAAGAGAGCGCCAGACAACCCCCGACCTTGATTCCCAGAGAATCTAGCTGGCACAAAATTTCACACACTTCACTTCTGGAGAAAAAGACCCAGTTCATACACACATGCACTTAAGCAGACAGATCCAGGCACATATTTTCTCTTTTGGAAGAAACCAGACTTCTGTCATCTAATCTCTTTGAGGACGTGCACACATAATCATATCTGTGTGGGATTCCCAAGCACAGCATCATCCATCGCCCAAAAAAACACCCAACCAGGAATCCCAGACTTTAATTTCTGCAAAAACTGTGTCAAAGCAGTACTAAGCGCACAGTTTTAATCCAAATGGTCAAAATATGATCCGCTAAGGGTAAAAGAGTCTTTTTATGATGAATAAACCACTTTCCAGTCTTCTGAGGAATTTTCCAGGTTTTCGAGGAAACTGGATCTTTTGGACGCTCTCGCCGCAGCCCGTCTGGGGGCAAGTCCTGACCCAGACCTGCCGTCGTCATGGTTCTGGGAGGGGTGCTGAGCTCCAAAAGCCGGTTGTCATGGTCACGGTGTCTGATTTCTCATCACTACCTCCCCCCCCCCATTCTCGCACCCTCGCCCACGTAATTGCTGAAAAAAGCCACACGGTGGCAGGACGAACCAGAGCATGCGGCTCTGGCTCTCTCAACAGGGGTGAGAGACCCGTATGGTGCCCTTTTCACGGGAGATATTCAAAGCTACCGCCATCACTGATCTAATAATACACTGATTGTAATCTTAACAGGCGTATCGAATCGACGAAGTCCAGAGCCCCCCTTAAAAGGCCACCCACCCTGTCTGTAGGACGCACCATGGGTGATGGGCAGTCGAAGTACCCCTAATCCAGGGGGTAGTCCCAGCAGGTACCAAGGCCTTGACTTGTGACACACCAAACATCAACAGCCTATATGTTATATAGGGGAGGTACAGGGAGCTTAGAAATACCCCCCCAGTGGGGAACTTGAGGACCGGCACCATTAACGTCATCACCCTAGCCAAGAAACCACAGAGATGGGATGGAGTTAGCGGGCGATCTGCGGTTCTGGCCGTCTCCATGCCAACAGACTCCAAACCCCACGGCAAAGGGGACACCTTCCTGCTGCCATCAGTCCCATGATAGCCTGCTGCTGGGGGGGTTAGGGATAGGGCTGGGGGGGTGGCTTTAGCTGGCAGAGCCTGGGCCCTGCAGGATGAGTGGGGCCTTTGAAGGGAAAACTCAATAAATATTCAAATAGAAGAAGAATCATTTTTGATCTCCTAACCGTTACAAAAACCAGACAGACACGCATATAACACCCAGAGGATAAAAAGCTGCCCCCTACCCCCCTACAAGCCCCCTACACTCAACGGGCACAAACAACACCCCCCCCCACATACACACACCCTCCATCCCCGACCCCCCCGGGAGGAGTGAGACGGGGTGGATTTGAGGCTCACACACTGGGGTGTCAGATAGGGAGTGAACCGCAGAGCCTAGACAGCACTAACCCTAAAACACCCCGAACAATCTCACAGGCCTGGGTGCCCCCCCCCCCCCCCCCCAGCTCACACTGACCAGGTTGTGCAAAGGGAGATGGCCAATGACCAGCTTAAAAAAAACAACCAGCTTACAGCATATTTGTTTTCCTAAAGTTCCTTTCATTTTCATTTTCAAGTTCCTTTCCCCCCCCAGCCCCGTCTCTGACACGCCGACTTACACGGTAAAAACACATTCCCAGCAGATGGCCAGGCCTTAAAAGGACATGCAGAGCACAGACAAAAGGAGCGCAGCACATCTTTATGTGCAGAGAGGGGCTGTGACCTGAATGCCCCCCCCCCACCCCCCACCCCGATGCCTCACAGAAGTGTGTTAGCTTTGTTTCTAGCTATCCAACTAATTGTCATGCTGATTTAAAGACTGGCACGACCAAGACGGCGCCCTTGTGTGGCCCGTGGTGGGAATTACAGCCACATCTCCGACTATAATGTCCACGGGCATCCACACTTCATCCCTAGGCGGCTCAGAAGTTTCCGGAAAACTTTCCACAGTTTCAGCGCCCGAGGGAGGAGGGAACTCCAGTAGTGCCAAAATGCCTTCGTGTTTACTGGTTTCTCCCCACCCCCCATACCTATCTGCATACACGTGTGTGCGTGCGCGTGTGTTCGTGCGTGCGTGTGAAACTCACCACATCCGACTCTTCGCTCCCAGAGAGGTACATTCCTACGCTGCTGGAGAACGTCTCCTCAAACTCCAGCCATCGCTGGGAAGTGGGAGGAGGGGGGGGAGAGACGTTCGGGGGCTTTTTTTCTCCTCCACGGAAAGTTCCGGCAAAAGGGGGGAAGCCCGTCCGCCTCTCAGGCAAAGAACGGTCCAGGTCCTATCCCCCCGTGTGCTCCGTCCCGGCTCTGCCGCTGGAGTCGGGTCTAATTCCCACACTTGGGAAGCAGTTCCTCTTGGAGTCGCTCTGATTCGAGAGTAACCCCCCCCCCCCGAACCCAACCCCCGCCCCGTACAACCCCCACACACAGCGAGTTCGGATGTACGAGCCCCAACCAAAGGGGCAGGCCAGAAAATTCCAGAATTCCGCAGAAACAGCTGCAGCTGTTTATAAAGTCTGCATGTGTGTGTGTGTGTGCGTGAGCACACATCTGTGTGTCCAGGGGTGGGAGGGGATGTTTATGTACCCACGCCTAAGCCCTGATGGGGTTACCCCAGGCATGAAGGCGGGGGCACATCCACATGTTGCCTGGAGGAAAAACTTTTTGGGGAAAAAAAAAACCAAAAAAAAACGTAAATTACAGGAAGCGTCGAAATTGCCCATGTTTTGCGGCACTTGCATCCTGCTTTGGGATGTACATCAAAGCCACATCCCCCATAAGATATATTAGTACACGCCTCGTTCGCCTCAATTAACGCCTTTTCCAGCAAACCTACATGCAAAAATCTAAACTTATCAGCACTGTGAAAGAGGTGGAACAACTTTCACTGTCATACTCTTGCCTGCAGGCAGGGGGCGATACTACAGACTAGTCTCAAGGATAGAGCTCTGCTTCCCAAGCACATTCACCTACCTCGCCAGGACAGGGACCCGCGACGAGGGTGGCGGGCTTCAAAAGGCACGCTGTCACATTATAATTACAGACTGTCGATTTGCAAAGGGGGGGGGGGAGCAATTCGCTCCTAAACCCGGATAAAAGGTCTGTTCACCAGCTAGTCATGTGTTAAAACCACTAACGACCGAGAGGCACCCAGAGGAACCACGGGAACCTCGCTCATGTCGCTTCATCCGCCTCCAGGAGGGTGTAATCACGGCCCACTTTACCCATATTTACAGCAGAGAGGGGAACAGAACAAACACTGGAGCACAGGGTAGTCGTTGGTTCAATTATCATGGTCAGTAAAGTGATTCCACTTTTGGGCCCTTGAACAAGGCCCTTAATCCCCAGTTTTCCTACAATAATAATGTGAATATACTAGGGTGCAGTGGGTGCCCCTGAGCAATGCATTGAAGGTTTTTGGTTCAAATCCCTGCTGGACCCTTAAGGCAAACTGGCTAAGCCTAACTGCTCCAGGGACTGGTTGGCTTTGCTATTTCAAATGTATATTGCTTTGGACAAAAGTGTCTGCTAAAAAACGTACTAAAAAGCCTCTCACAGTAAATACACAGAATTAAATTACAGTACATCTGTGTGTCTAACAGATGATCGAGGATACCCTTCCGTAAATCCAAAAGAGAGGATCTCTTCCTAATTTTGAGAATTTTTGTGTCTTTCTGGTCTTAAACACCAAAGATGGAGAAAGAATGGAAAACTTGAAGTTGAACCCCAGGACTGTTGACCCAGTAGGTTGCTGGTTCTAGACCTGTGAATAAGCCGAATGCTCTTCAGAAGCAACTGAAGTAGACTAGGGAACCAGAGCCCGGTGAGTCACACTGGTTAAAATCTTATGCTAAGCTACTACATGATGTCATTTAATATAAATAAACCAACCAATCAGGATGTCCCTTTTAAACTCCAAGTCTGACGCACAAACTAACATAACGCCTCATTTGTCAGCTCACCTCAAGCAAGAAAGTCAGCCAGGTCTTGGTTATTTTCTGCTTTTTGAATCCCGCGAAGTCGTTCACAACAATTTACGTGTAAAAATTCACGGGCGCAGCGGAGATTTCGATTCCTCCACACCCGGAGTCCCGGGAGTGGAGAGTCCAGCCAAGGAACAACTTGTACACAGAGGAGAAAAGAGCCGCAGCTCTGATGCCAGATCACCTTCACATCTGCTACCGGGCACAACACCTCGGTCTCTGAAATTCACGGGCGGCATGGAAGGTTCCTGAAGAACTGCTTCGTGCAAGCCAGACAGCAGTGTTCGAGTCCAGTCACACGGGACGTCAGTAAACGGTGCCAGACAGAAGAACTGAGTGCTAATTCTTACTCAGATTTGGTTTACGGAGTGAAGACAGGGTCTAGCAGCCTGGTTTGGAGCTGTTCAAAGCAGACATGTCATGGTTTTGAGATCTATTTGCCAGAGGAACACCCAGAATATAAGTGCCCTTATTAGAAGGTAGCACAGAAGTTTGTTTCAGCAGTTGCCTGAACTACGAAGCGAGGTTACTGGCTTATCGAGGTAACTTGATGGATTTAAGGTAATCTGGGCAAAATGTAAGTTAACGAATATGAAGTCCATTTAAATTAAGCCAGTAACCTCGCTTCGTAGTACAGGCCACAGGTCTTTGGAGATGTTTGAGGTCCACAACTCACGCATCAAGTTTTCACACAACTCGCGTGAAGTTGCTGTAAGAAAATGAATTCATGTTTCCAACAGATTTCAGGAAAGTTTAGAAATATCAACAGATAACTAACAGGATGTTTGCCCTCCAAACCCAATGTTAGCAAGGTGGTCCTGTTTTCCTCTGTCCTAGGATGAGGTCCAAGCTCATAGCCTAAGCTGCTATATTTGTAACATTTACATTTATTTTTTTTAGCAGACACTTTTATCTAAAGTACTAAGAACAACTGAGAGATCAGGATCAGCCAGTCCCTGGAGCAAATGGGGGTTAAGGGTTTTTCTCTGGGGCCCAATGATGACATCAGTCTACTGACTCTGGGATTTGAACTGGTGGCCTTCTGGTCACAGGCACAGAGTCTTAACCCACCCACCACACACCACACACCAGCCCCCTCACCCCAGACACAAACATGGGAAACAGAGGTCATAGAACAATACTGACTGGAGTTCAGCCATCCGGGTAACACGGTGACCTAGACCCTAGGAGGGCGATTTATGTGCAATGGATATTTGGCCCAAATAAAGTCCGACCCAACTCTGCCAAAGCAGGGACTGCAAGGGCTATTGGATACTTTTGAAGCGCTGGCCGAGATGGACTAACAGCCCCACAATCAGGTAGAACTTCTCCAGACCGGAAAGGGGTTTGATTGTTTGAGATTAACGTAAAGAATCATGGTGAGCAGAGTACTGGCGATTTCCCAGTGCATCAGACAGCATTCGACTGAGTAAAACCACCACGTCTGGCACCAACAATCACACAACATTCAAAATCGCTTAGATCAGGATCTTAATCATTCTAGTACAGTAACTGAACCTCCTGACACTGTCTATGTGCTGTATGTATTCAGTCACATGACTGGCTGTTTGGGAAATCAAGCCATTTACCGTAACAAAAAAGTGTACCTAATTAACTGGCCAACACCCAACACCCAAACTTACACTCCAAATACTAGCTTTTATAAATGATTTAGGAAGCACGATGTACTTTTTGCCATCAATGCCAAATGAATGGTTAAATAACTCGTTATCTAACAGCAGTTTGGCTATAACAGAGCTGTCAGTCACCTGATTAGGTTTGTTTCCTCTTATCCAAGGAGTAGGGGTCATTAACAACGTCGGGGGGTGTCACTTATTTTCAGCACCCATTTGAACAACACCCACCGCCACTTGTAAACAAATAACCAATGCTGCAACCAGCAAATTAATAACGTATACCTCCATCCACGAACAAACAACTAGTGCCACCACCCGCAAACAACCAGCAACTCCACCTTCAAAGAAGCAAGCAGTACCACCACCCGCAAACAAATAACCAACACCGCCATCTGCAAACAGACAAGTGTCACCACCCGCAAACAAATAACCAACACCTCCATCTGCAAACATACAAGTGTCACCACCCGCAAACAAATAACCAACAGCTCCATCTGCAAACAGACAAGTGCCACCACCCGCAAACAAATAACCAGCACCTCCACCCACAGACAAATAGATAGCACCCCCACCTGCAAATGAATAACCATCACCACCACCAGGAAAATAACAACCAGCACCACCACCAGGAAAATAACAACCAACACCACCACCAGGAAAATAACACCCAGCACCACCACCTGCACCTCAAAGCCAGAGGCGTGTCAGTAAGATGGGCATCCATCCCGTGAAATCCCACAGGCTTGCCGTGTCTCAGACTTACCTCAGGGAAATCAGAGACAGGTGGGATGGCTTTCTTCGAGACGGCCAGCATTCCATCGAGCAGGAAATTTCCTCCCACCGATGTGGGAAAACACAGTTAACCTTTCAGACTGAAGAGCTTACAAATACCACTAAAAGCTCATTAGTTGCAATAAATCAGAACTTTTATTAAAGGCGATTCAATTTTCATTTACTCGACTAGAGTAACAGAGAACCTCGTTCAAGGGTACAACAGCTTGCCCCTTCCAAAGTGTGCTGGGAAAACCCGTTCATTAATCAACGCTGCACCTCATGATACCATCCTGCCTAATATAATAACATCAGGTTGGTGAAAACAATGATGAATTAACTGATTTAAGGGCACAGTGTCAAGTTAACACACCTTCACATTGCAAAAGGGCAAACAGCAATAGTCTACTGTGCCCAGTGAAGAACCTAGTAATGGAAACACCTGCCCAGTACTGGGAGACAGTGTAATGTAACTTACCATCCCTACCCAAATAGGAACAGAGAAAAGCTACAGCAGGGGTTAGGGTCGAATCCGCAAAGGGCCAGTGTGTATGCAGGTTTTGGGGTAACCTTTAGGTCAACTATTCAAACCCAGTGGCCTGTACTATGAAGCGGGGTTACTGGCTTATCGGGGTAACTTGTCGGACTTAAGGTACCACAGTCTATCGGGCCTTCATATTCATCCACTTACATTTTGCCCAGACTACCTTAAATTAGTAACCCTGCTTCGTAGTACAGGCCCCGGGTGTGAGGACTCATCAGCCAATCAGTCCTCTAATTAGTAATCTAATTAGGGAGTTGCAGCGAAAACCCGCATACACAGCGGCCGTTTCTGGATAAGATTGGTCACCCTGGGGTAACACATATTCAACACAACAACTAAAAACCAGCCATTAGAATGATTTACTTGTATTCTTTCCTGTGCAGTGGCAATAATGCTAGACAGTAAATATAAATTAAGCCATAGGTAAACGTGGGG